CCCGCGCCCGCAGGTGTCGCGCATCCTGAGGAAGGCGGCGGCCGAGCGCAGCGCCGAGGAGGGCCGGCTCCTGGCCGAGAGCGAGGACCTGGTGACGGAGCTGCAGGGCCGGAGCAGGCGGCGCGAGGGCCTGAAGCGGCGGCAGGAGGAGGCGAGTCCCGCGGCGCGCCCGGGGCTCGGTCGGTGCGGGGCTCGGTCCGCGGACGGTCGGGGCCGGGCCTCTCGCCGTGCGGGGGCGGGGGCGGGGCTTAGGACCGGCCTCGCGTCTCGGCAGGTGTGCGACGACCCGGAGGAGCTGCGGAGGAAAGTGCGGGAGCTGGCCGGCGCCGTCCGGAACGCCAAGTACCTGGTGGTCTACACCGGCGCAGGGATCAGCACGGTAGGGCGGCCGCGCCCCCGGCTCGGCTCCCGGGCAGACCGCGGGCGCAAGGGGCGGGTGTGGGGCGCCCCCTTCTGGGTGACTCACCCCAGGACCGAGCGGAGTCTTCTGAGTGTCAGTACTGATTCACAAAAAACTCACTTTACAAACAGCCCTGATGTTCTTTTTTCAAGTTATTTATTTTTAAAAAGTAATTTCTACAGCCCATGTGGGGCTGGAACTCACGACCCTGAGATCTAGAGTCTCACGCTCTTCCGGCTGACCTGGCCAGGCGCCCCGCTGATCTAATCTTTTTTTCTCTTTTCTTTTTTTTTTTTCTTTTCTCTTCTCTTTTCAAGACTTATTTATTTGAGAGACACAGAGTGCGTGCACGGAGCACACTGTCAAGCAGACTGCCCGCTGAGTGCGGAGCCCCACGCCAGGCGGGGCTCGATCCCACCACCCTGAGATCAGGACCTCAGCTGAAACCGAGAGTCTGAGGCTTAACTGACCAGGCCACCCAGGCGCCCTACCCCCCCCCCCAAAATATTCTTTCTTGGAGAAACTCGAAATGACTCCGCTTGAAACTTCAGTGGGGAGATAAACCTTTTTAAATGTTTGCAGTTTTTGTGATACATATTTAGAAACAAGAAAGGAAGAGGGATAAAACAGGACATGGTACTTCAGTGTTTGTGGGCACCTCCTCATTTGAAGTCAGAACGGTTCATCACTATCCCAAGATTATGTGGGCGGAGCTAAGCCCAGAACTGTCTCCTGATTGCCCATGCATCATGTTTTCTAAACGTTGAAGGAAAATAAGTAGAAAGCAAGGGTTTGGGCACGTTTTATTGAGAGGCCATCTTGGGCCATGGAATATGGTTAGCTTTGAGAGTGTCATTTGTCTGCTTAATGGGTGCATGTTGAGTGTGACTCACGTGTAGGCCAGCAGAGGTGAACCTTGAGGATTTCTGTCCTCAAGAAGCCCGTCGGTGATGAGACTATGGCGTGTCAGCAGATAGCTAAGGTAAAGCTGGCTGTGCTAGGTTGCTAGAGTGGAGATGCAGACACACACACACATCCCCTCAGAGCTGGGAAAGCCATCCAGTTGCTTTTTGTGCAAGGCAGCATTGAGGCCAGGTCTTGAAAGCTGAGTAAGGTTTTACAGGCAAGGGTGAGAGTAAGACCCTCCAAACAGGGATGAGCTCAGAGGCCCAGCAGTGAGACCGGGTAAGGGGCACTGACTACCCTGACTTGCAGACCCCGGAGCCCTGGTAGCGGGGTCTCCTTCTTGCAGTCACATGTGTGTTCCTGTCATCTGTGGGAGTGCTGCTCTGTAGTTTGCTCTGAGCATTACGTTCTCATTTCTGACATTTCTCTTCAGTGTGATTCAGAACCATGCTGTTCAGGGTGGGCATTTTTCTGAGCTTAAGCTACAGGGAGGAGATAGGGCTCCCCAGAAGGCAGGTCACTACAGCCTGGGGAACACAAGACTCCTTGATCCTGGCACACCTTCTGTCTTCTCTCGGGGTGACTTTATTTCACTGGGTTGAGAACTAGAGAAATTCAGTGGTATTTACCTTTGTGAAGGTAGGGCAGGAAACACTATCAGGTTGTAAGAATCGGGATGGATGAGCACTCCTACCTAGGGTTTCACCACGTGCTAAACTTTCCCTGAGCGCTGGCTAGGCCCTGGGGACCCACAGATGAGCCTGACCAGTCCTCTCCCTCGGTTTAGAGGATGGATGTGGCTGCAGAGCCCAGGTTGTACTCTGTGCTGGAGAGGTTCCCAGAGGCGTTAGGACTCCTTGGAACCTGGAGGGATGAGCTAGACCAGGTGGGAGCAGGGGTCTGAGCAGAGGGAAGGAGCCACTCTGTGGGTTCAGGCAGGTTGCACTAGGAGGTGCTGAGCCTCTGGAATGAATAGAGGCTTGTGCACGGACAGGCCTGGAACACATTAAGAAAAACATTTGCTTTTCACTCTTGCGAATTTCGCCAGTTCCTACAGTGATGCATTGTCACTGGGTTTATTTTCTTTCTGAACGTGCAGGCAGCCTCTATTCCAGATTACCGGGGCCCTAATGGAGTGTGGACACTGCTTCAGAAAGGGAGAAGCGTTAGGTAAGCAGCCCAGGGCAGCCTTCCCACTCAGTCGAGCACAGGCAGCATGGGCCTGCCCTCACAGCTCCCCACACCTGTGCTTCCCTTCCACCTGGCAGTGCTGCTGACCTGAGTGAGGCCGAGCCAACCCTCACCCACATGAGCATCGCCCGCCTACACGAGCAGAAGCTGGTAAGAACCTGGTGTGGCTAGCAAGTACACTTGCTGGGTGCCTGGGGCAGAACCCGGAGGACCACCTTTGTGCCTGAGTGGCAACAGCTTCATGTCTCTGTCAGCCATTGGACGTGGGATGAGCGCTTACCAAGTGTTTTAGACTCCTGGCTTGAGTGTCTCTCAGGAATCATGTATAGGGTCTGCCTCAGGCCCAGAGCTGCTGGTGGCTCTTTCCCCCTGTGTTTCTATCACATTGTCCAGACAGATCTCAGAAACCACCTAAATAAAGGGGAAGCTCATGGGAAACCTCTGGGGATCCTCTGCTGAGCACTTTCAGCCAAGTGGGGAAGGATCCATCCTCCGGGTCCTTCGGTGACTTGAAACCTAATGAGCCAAGAGAGCGTCGGTCTGGGCCCTTCCCAGCTGAGAGCAAACACCTGCCCTCCTAGCTCGCCAAGCGCTTCAGAGCTGTTGCGGGCAGCCTGGGGCCCTTCCCACCCAGGGCCCTCCCAAGTTGTGCTGGGGCCTGCTTCTCTCTTTTGCCTTTGAGGCTTCATGCAGGGTTGGAGTCGCCCCCGGCCTGGGCTCTGGGCAGGGTTCAGGATGGTGTCCCTGTTGAACACACCGCGCAGCCCCCTTGCTGCCTTGCCCTTGTCTCCCCTCCAGGTGCGGCATGTGGTGTCTCAGAACTGCGACGGGCTCCACGTGCGGAGTGGTCTGCCTCGCACGGCCATCTCCGAGCTCCATGGGAACATGTACATTGAAGTGAGCGGTCCCACTGGGCTTCGGGGGCCTGTGCGGGCCAGCGGCTCCTGCTCACACTGCCCTCTCCTCCTCAGGTCTGTACAGCCTGCACTCCCAACAGGGAGTACGTGAGGGTGTTCGACGTGACCGAGCGCACCGCCCTGCACCGGCACCAGACGGGCCGGGCCTGCCACAAGTGCGGGGCCCAGCTCCGGGACACCATTGTGCACTTTGGGGAGAGGGGGACGCTGGGGCAGCCTCTGAACTGGGAGGCAGCCACTCAGGCTGCCAGCAAAGCCGACACGATCCTGTGTTTAGGTTCCAGCTTAAAGGTACGTGAACAGCACCACGGATGGACTGGGAGGGGAGTGAGCCTGCCAGCCCCTTGCCAGCTCAGTGTTAGACCCTAGCTTCCTAGAGCTTTGTTCCCTATTGTGTGTGGGGTCTTTTTGTCTGTCCGTCCATTCCTACAGGTTCTGAAGAAGTATCCTCGCCTCTGGTGCATGACCAAGCCCCCCAGCCGGCGGCCCAAGCTCTACATTGTGAACTTGCAGGTGAGTTGCACAGATACCTCCTTAGATCTGGACCTTAGAACAGGAGAACCAGAGAGTTCCTGGGACGTTGGTGTCCTGAACTCATGGGCCACAGAGGTCTGGCTGAGAAAGGGCCATTGGGAGGAAGTGAGGTGTCCTCACTCGCCTTCCCGTGTCCCCAGTGGACCCCAAAGGATGACTGGGCTGCTCTGAAGCTTCACGGGAAGTGTGATGACGTCATGCAGCTCCTCATGGATGAGCTGGGCCTGGAGATTCCCCCCTATAGCAGGTGAGGGGGGCACGGGTGCATCCCCCCCTTTTCCTGCCCCTGTGTGGATGGGCCGTGTCTGTCTTTTCTCGTGAACTGAGCATAGAGAATGCTCTGAATTGTTGCAGATGGTGTCTGAGGTGTGACTGCAGCCTGGTGGCCCCCGCAGGGAGCGGCTGAGGCATCAGCTAGGGCGCCCTGGCTGGTGTGACTCCCTGCGGGGAGAGGGAATGTGCCAGTATGCACCTGGAGAGTCCCCCTTCTACCTCAGACAGCCTGGACGGGAAGGTGCCTTGAAGGGATGTGGTCTCGGCAACTGCAGTCAGACAGAATCTTGGTGCACTTGGTTTGGGGAGCTGGCATACTTTGGGGAAGCTTAAACTGTATCTTAATACAGAATTTGTGATAATTTAGACGTGGTATATGTATTGAGTAAAAAGTTTACACTTTCTTTCTCTGTGAATTTTCAGGGTCTTATAGGGGAAATCAGTAACTTCTTTTAATCAAAGGGTTCAAGAATTAAGGATCCCTTCACCTTCTGGGCCTGGCAATTCTTGTATGTTATGTTTGTGGTGTTATGTAATGTGGGCCTATTGTGTACTGTACTTTTTTTTTTTTTTTTTTACATAGCTCATTTTCTTTATCAGTGCTTATCTGTATCTTAAGTTTATAATATGTGGTTCTACATCTCAGTCAGACACATGATCTCTTCATGGTGTAGTCTATAGGCCACACCTCCCTAGTCAGCTGGCCTTCCCCCCCCCCCCCCATCTAGTCTTGCAGTCTGGGAAGAGGGAAAGGGTCTGGTCCACCTGCCCCTGGCCATACAAGTGAAAGGTGGGGTCCAGCGTTACTAGTGATTCACCCCTCTTGGGGCTACTGCTGCCCCATCCTGGGTGTGCACGTCCTGCTCCATCACCAGCAAGGACACTGAGTTCTGCAGAGGCTGAGCTAGTGTGAGTGCTGACCTTTGAGTTATTTGGGGAGCTTACCCCTCTTATAGCTGTTCTGTAGCTCAGGAACAGTGGAGCTGCCACTAAGCAAAGCCTGGCCACAGTTAAGACAAGGGGGAGGGAAGCAGGGTGACCTCCTCAGTCAGCTTTCCCGCCCTGGGGCAGGTTGTGACAGAGGCTCCCAGGCATGCCTGACCTAGCTTTTCCTTTTCGGTAGGTGGCAGGACCCAATCTTCTCCCTGGCGACTCCCCTACGTGCAGGTGAAGAAGGGAGCCACACTCGGAAATCGCTGTGCAGAAGCCGGGAGGAGCCCCCGTCTGGAGACCGGGGTGCACCACTTAGCTCAGCCCCTGTCCTAGGTGGCTGGTTTGGCAAGGGCTGCACTAAACGCACAAAAAGGAAGAAAGTAACGTAACCTGGTGCTGGACAAGAACAACTGGCACTTTGCAGATGACGGAACTATGATTCAGGGGCAAGGCCAGCACAGCCCCGGGGTCCCGCGAGCATCCTCCGGGGAGGACTGCTTCGTCCTTGGTCCTAGCGGGAGCCGCCTTGGCACTGCTGTGGCCTCCTCGGGCGTGGGCCTTCGGAGGACACCTGGCCTGTCCAGCCTCTTCTTAAAGAGGTGGCAGCCATGCCTTTGTGCAAGAACAGAACTCGGGTTATTTCACAACTGGCCAGTCAGGAGGAAGCACACGGCTGCCTTTCCTCCTTCACCGGGCTAGTCTCAGGGGCCTCAAGCCTATTTCTACTGCTTCTTACTAAAACACGGTGACTTTATAGCAACCTTTTTCTGAATTGGGTTTGCGGCAGAGGGGTGGTTTTGGGCCTGGGCGCTCAGCAGGCCTTTTTATTGTCATTAAACATCTCTGCACTGTCTCGCGCGTGTCCTCGAATGACTGCCCTGCGGGGGCGGAGATGGGCGCCGGCGCCCAGCTTAGGCTCCTTGGGGGAAGCGGGCGGAGCCCCACGTGGTCCTGCCCCGCCCCCTCGGCAAGGTGCGCGCAAGCTATTGGCCCAGCGCGCCGGAGGGCGGGGTCTCCTGGGCACGCGGTAGGCTGCCAGGCGGGGCGGGGCGGGGCTCGGCTCTGGCGGCTCACGCCATTGGCGGCG